TTTCTCCCCAGATAAGTTTGCGTGGGCAGAAGGAGGGAGTGGTTCTTCGTTCAAATATCATAAACTTTCACTGTTTCTAAAGTTTTAAGTTTTCTTAAATACATGCTTTTTAGATTTTATTTTATGCCATTTTAAGACCATTTCTAGAAATTTTAAATGGTTGTTTATATTTTATAATTTCCACTAGTTTCACTTGGGAGCTTATCCACAAAGCTCTTCATGATGTTATCCTATAAGTAGAATCTATACATTCACATGTAATGATGTTATTGAATAGTTGGATTTACATCTATCATTTAAATTTTTTTTCTATATGTCTTATGTCTTTTTTTAAAAGATTTTTATTTATTTATTTGACAGAGAGAGATCACAAGTAGGCAGAGAGGCAGGCAGAGAGAGAGGAAGGGAAGCAGGCTCCCCGTTGAGCAGAAAGCCCGATGCGGGGCTTGATCCCAGGACCCCGGGATCATGACCTGAGCTGAAGGCAGAGGCTTAACCCACTGAGCCACCCAGGTGCCCCTGTCTTTTTTGTACTATTCTTTCTTTCTTTGCATTAAGCAAATATTTTCTAGTAGAAGTTTTTAAAGTTTTTTTTTAAAGATTTTATTTATTTATTTGACAGAGAGAGATGACAGGTAGGCAAAGAGGCAGGCAGAGAGAGAGGAGGAAGCAGTCTCCCCGCTGAGCAGAGAGTCCAATGGGGGGGCTCCATCCCAGGATCTTGGGATCAAGACCTGAGCTGAAGGCAGAGGCTTTAACCCAATGAGCCACCCAGGTGCCCCTTTTTTCACTATTTTTAATGTTATTTTCTTAGTGGTCCTAGGGCTTAGCATATATCTCTTAGCAGAATATAGTTCACTTTTATACTTAGTTCCTTTGAGATATACAAATGTTACTCCTGTAAAGTTCTATTCCCTCCTCCTTTTTTCCCTATTTTTGTTATGCATATAATATCTGTTTAATATGTTAAAATATATTAGCTATCATAATGTATGTGATATATTTAAAAATCTAAGAATACATTACTTATTATGTTGTATACATTTTAAGAAAATGAGATAAGAAAATAGAACTGTTTATTTACAAGGTTTATTATATTAATTTTCTAATTTACCATTTCTGTCTCTCCATCTCAGGATTCCCTACTTTTTAATTTTCTTTCTTTTTTTTTTTTTGCCATACTAGGGATATTTGTAATTTTCAACCTTGGTTTTCCATTAACATTATTTCTAAGGTGACAGAATGAAATAAATAACTTTGTGGGTTTAATTATGTCCCTTCCAAAATATATGTCCATTTCCCTATCCCCAGTATGTGTGAATATGACTTCATTGGAAAATAGTGTCTTTGCATATGTAAATCATTCAGGTTCTTGAGATGATATTATTCTGAATTAAGGGTGGACCTGAAAGACAATGACTGGTGTTTTTATAAGAAAGAGGAGAGGGAGTTTTAGCATAGGGACACACAGGAAGACCATACGAAGCTGGAGTCAGAGACTGGAGTTATGCTGCCACAAACCAGGAAATGCCAGGTACCACCAGAAGCTGGAAAAGGCAAAGAAGGATTCTCTACCAGAGATTTTGGAGGGAGTGTGTCCTTGGTGATACTTTGATCTTAGATTTCTGGACTCTAGAACTATGACAGAACAGATTTCTTTAGTTTTAAGTCACCTTGTTTGTGGTAATTAGTTATGGCAGTCCTAGGAAACTAATACGCCCAAGCAGGCAAACATTTCAGATTTTTTTCTTTGTAAATGCATGTTTCCATTCATTTATGAAAATTTCCTTCCCCTTAAGGTTATGCTTCTGGGCACAGGGTTAATACTGGTGACTTTAATTGCAACAAAGTAATTCAAAGCATTTGGCTTATCACAAACAACAAATTAAAACTTATGTTACCATACACATTTAAATAACTTTCCTTTTGTCAATGTAGTCATTACAGTAAAGAGCAAAGCAAGGAAATTGTGCCAGTTTATTGATTTGCTGCTTATCATCTCAATTCTCCCCTCTTGACTGCTCTCTGAAAATGGATCTGGGACATTTATTTATTTTTTAAAGATTTTATTTATTTGACAGAGAAAGAGACTGCAAGCACACAAGCAGGGGGAACAGCAGGCAGAGGGAGAGGGAGAAGCAGGCTCCCTGCTGTGCTGGGAGCTCCAAAGGGCTAGATTCTAGGACCCTGGGATCATGACCTGAGCTGAAGGCAAACGCTTAACTGCCTGAGCCACCCAGCCCCCCTGATCTGGGACATTTAAATATTTTTCCTTTTGTCAGCTTGAATTGAAGCTTTGTCAGTAGATGGAGCTGGAAATACAGTGTAGGAATAAAGGCTTTTGCTTCCTGCTTCTGGCATTTTTACTGGGTAGGCTGCTCCCCCAGCTTATGCAAATTTCTCTTGTGCCTTGTTCCTGTGGTGTATCGTTTTGGTGGCAAAGCTCCCCCAGCAGCTTCTTTTGGCATCCTTCTTCTGAGTGGCTTTGTAGTAAAGTCGTTCTGGTGATACATTTTGCCATGAACGCATTTCTCAGGCACCCTAGAAGACTGATACCAGGGCAGAGTTCCAGTGACTTCCAGAGGTTGTAGTTTCAGCAAGTTCTACCCACAAGGTACTACAGCATCTTTCCTGACATTTAATAAGTCTTGTCTGGCTTTATTTTCTCCAGCCAAGTCTGGATCTTAGCCCTAAGGTGGGAGTAGGGATTGAAGGTACTATATCTCAATTCTAGAGGTAGTGGCTAGTTTATCTACTATTATATTATATATCTGCTATTGTTATATTTGTTAGAGTTCTCTTTACTCCTTACAAGGTAATCCCTTATTACTCTAATCTCCTGTTATTGTTAGTAATTTTGTATCATAAACTCTCTTAAAAGGCACATAGTAATTCATAGTAATTCATAGTAATTTTCCCTGATTGCATTCAGACTAATACTGAGGTAACCAATGGAATAACAACGTCCCATAAACCTTGAAATATGATATGAATATATTCACATGATTATACAGCAAGCCTTTCCTGTGAAGTGGGCACAGCAAGTACTATCCTATTTTACAGACGAGGAACAAGGTTCACAGAATACAAGTAAGTTTTCCAAAGTCATATAGTCTTTTTTATGATCGACTGGGGATAACAATAAAACCTACCTCCTAGGATAACTATAAAGATTAAATGAGGTGAAGGATATTAAGTGCTTAGTGCATGGTTGTGGCTTGATAAAACTTAACTGTTACATATATTATATTTGATTTGTAAAAAAATATTCCATCTCGTGTTTTGCTAAACTACTTGCAATGAGTTGTCTAGGGCTTATATATTTTTTTAGTATCTTTTTTTTTTCGGTTAATGGCGTTTTTCAAGTACTATAGTGTAATCACCAAAGATAGAACTATCACATCATAATTACCCCGTGTGGTTCTTTCTTTCTAATGGGAAATCGTAGCCAGAGTGAGAGCTAAACATCCTTGGCTAAGATTGTATCGGCGTAATGCAAATCTAGACCAACTGTGATCAATGGCTAAACTCGTAGTGAAGAAACCAAATTCCCAAGAATCCATCCCTAAACTTTAAAGGTAAACCTTCAAATTTGATTATTTTAATGAACGTAAATAGTACATGCAGCTTAAACATAATCTCTGGTTTCATCGGGTTCAGTTTCTATTACTTTTTTTGGTCAAGGCTGGAGGTGGGAACAAAATATTAAGGAAAAATAGAAAAGGAGAATCAGTTTATTGCATATGTATTGATTCTACAAATCCTTTAATTACTTAGGATTTTAGTAACCAAATGCTGAAAAGTCAGTACTGTACCAAAAATTTAGGATTCTATGCATTAAAAAACATTGTCCCAAAGGTTGCATACAGATTTGTAATAATACATTAAGACCACCTTGCATATAGATACGTAATCAAAAACACAAATCCATGGTTAATATAAAATACTTTGGCAGTACTTTAAGATAAACGGGAAATTATCCTACGGGAATGAGACAGGTATGGCACGTGTTAAACTTTCAGGAGGGGAAGAAATAAAATGCATCATATCTGACGGCATATTCCCCCCACAATATCAGATTTTAGAACTGGTCTTTATAACAATATGAGCCATGCACTCTGGACTGGTAAGTAGAACATTTTCATCTGGTACAAAAAAACATTTTAAAGCGAAACAAGTGACGCCCATATAGGGTCTCCTTTTTCTTCTTCAGTCACAAGATCCTTCAGGGGCTGGCCTCATTTTGGAGAGGCAACCAAACAAATCAAACCCCCCAAAAATAACAACAAAGCCTCTTCGGTGACCGGAGGAAAAAGAAGAAAGCGGCTGAATCAAGTCAGCCCCTCACAACTTCCTTCCATCAGCGCCATAAGGAAGAGTCCTCAAACAGGAAAGAGCCCAACCGCCCTCACAGGAAAGGAAACAGACTCAAGTGCTCTCGGAAGAGAACGCCACCACGGAGTTCTAAGGCGTCGGCCAGAGCGTAGGCCGTCTGTTAGCACCTCCCCCTGTTTCCGGGAGCGGTAGCTAGGCAACCGCCGGCCTCAGGAAGAGCGGAGGCCATTCGTTTGCGTTAGTGTCCCTAGCGGCGAACAGCGAGAGCTGCAGGCTCTTCTCACAGTTTTTACCCTCCCCTCTCTCCACCCCCTTTGCCCCGTCCCTCGTCCCCACCCCCAACCCCTCACCCCCCCCACCCCCCCCCCCCGCCCCGCCGCTTCGGCTCCTCCCCTCTCTTCTCCAGGCTCGCTAGCTCGCGCTCGCTCTCGCTCTCTCTCTCTCTCTCTCCCCCCCCCTCCCTCTCCCTCTCCTTCCTCTCCGCCTCCTCGCTCTTGGGCTAGAATATCTATGGGTCGAAACGTGATGCGATGAATCCGAGAGAGACCAGAGAGACGGAAACTAGGACGAGGAGTGGGGCGGAAGCGGTGGGACTCCTGGGCATGGGGGCTTCACCACAATAGAGGCAGCGCCCCCACCCGCCCCCGCTATCTCCTCCGGAGTGGAGCCCCCAAACCCCCTAGGGAAAAGGATGGCGGCGGCACCTACCCAGATCGAAGCCGGTGGGTAACTGTGTCTGGGGGCTAAGGAGATGGGAGCTTAGCGCGACGGCTGTCAGTTTCTTTTGAAAAAGCTTGTTTTTCTTTACCTTCCTCTCAGCCTCTTTTTCCCCTCTTCCACAGAGCTGTATTACCTGATCGCTAGATTCTTGCAGTCCGGACCCTGCAACAAATCCGCCCAGGTGAGAGGGAGAAGGAAATCTGGGAGTCGTAGGGAATGGTCCCAATGGGGAAATCGAGGCACTGGGTGTACGATTTCACTGAGGGTGAGGGAAAGGCCGGCCTTGACTAGTCCTGCCATCAGCGGCTGGGTTCGAAGTGGGGAGGGAGGAATGTGTTGATGGCCCGAGCTGCTCCTCATACCCGTGTTTCCCTTTTGCTCAGGTGCTAGTGCAGGAGCTCGAAGAGCATCAGGTACGGAGCCCCTTCGGGAAGACGTGGGGAGGGCTGGGGTGAGACTGGAGAAAGGGGAGGGCAAGTCAGGGGCGGAGGACAGGGGCTGGGAGGGAAGCTTGGATCTGGGCACTCATAACTGTTGTCACTGGAGTGAACCAGCTTCTTCCCTCAAAAGAGGCGGATATCGCCGGGGTCTTAACTCGCCCCCTCTTTATGACCAAGGGAGGCGGTTTTTCAGGATTTCCTCCCCCTCGGCCTCCTCCTTCCTACACTGGACTAGCTTCGAGGCGACAGCTATCAGACCTAGAGAAATACAGACGCCAGAGGGTCGGGGACCAGGACCCGGGTTGGGTCGGTTTCATTGGCAGCCCAGGCATGGCCTATATGGTTTGCCCACCCCCCATCCTTTCTTTTCTCCCGCCCCCAGTTGATTCCGCGCCGCTTAGACTGGGAGGGAAAAGAGCACCGAAGAAGCTTCGAGGATCTGGTGAGTAAAGTTTTCATTTCAACTTAATTCAACTCTTTTTCCACTCCCTCCCCACCTTGTTCCTCCGGCCCATTCCGGACCCCTCAGCCTACACGGTTCTAGAGCTCTGTGCTGGGCCGAAGAACGACTGCCCCTTCCCCCCTCCCTGCCAGTCGGAGAAAGGGTACCTTGCCCTCCCCCCGGCCTCGCCTATTTCCACTCGGAAACTTTGATGATGTGAGTTAGTTATCAGAGATGCCGTTTTGTGGATTATGAATATGTTACAAACATTGAGAAAGGCCCATTGTAAGGGAAAAAGGGAGAGAAACCTGGGGGTTATCTTGGGGCACGTACCAAGGACTGACGTTGGCCAATGACAGCGTTGGTAACAGCCCAGAGTTCCGGATTAGTGGAAGAAAACTGGTTTCTGGTTGGTCCTGGCTTGAAATACGGGAACTGAGGCCAGGCTTAGTCTTTGGTGGGGTGTGGGGGGGAATTATGGGGGAGGAGGTTTAGGAGGGGAGTTAACCCACCCTGGATTGGGCAACACGACACAATTAAAAATAATAGGAAGCATCAAGCGAATTCCAAAATTTGCGGGGTTTAGGTAATCGGCTACCGAATGAAAAGCGTAATTACTGTATATATCACATTTTAGAAAATAGCTCATTAAATTATTAGATAGCATTCCTGAAGATGTATTTATTTTCACTGCATAACAACCACGGATTATGACCTTTTTGAGAATTGATGAAACACGATTTGGAGTTTAGAAAAGACAACAATGGTTATATTTTAAAATATGCTTCAGTAAAGACCAAAGGCATTGGGTTGACTGTGTTGTTTATCCTGCAAATATAATTCATAGTGTCCATGCACTTCTCTTCAGCATTGATACACACAAAAAGGTGTGTTTTTTTTTTTTTTTTTTTTTTTTTTGGGGAAGATGTCCTCTTGCATTAGCCTCTGGTACAGTGAATTGGAAGGAAGTGAAAGGAGAAAGGGATGATGTTACTAAAATCTAAATTCAGCTATCTTCCCTTCAAATAAGATCCAAATGCAGGAAAATCAAAGTTAAAGAAAGTTGGGGTATGGTAGACTCTAAATATAAATAAAACGATTTAATAACAATATCTAAACTGATTTATTGTTTATTTGACAATTTTTATATTAAGTTACAATAAAGAGGCCTGCTAATAATTATTACTAAATAATAATTTTAGTTGGCTGACTAAATATTGAATTTTTTGTAAATCACAGAATGGTGTAATAATTGTAATATGGATAAACTCCACCATCTATACAATTAATGGTAAAAAATTCTAGGTAGATAAAAATTATTTTGGAAAAACTGCATGTATTAATCAGTGTATTTAATTTGTAGTCAGACTTTTGTTGGACTGAAGTCCTGCCAAAAAGGGCCAAAACAGTGCCTACTAATATCTGTTTAAACACTTTATAACTAATGTGGTTTTAAAATAGAGTTTTATACTGAGATGTATTGAAGATATTTTCATTTACATTTGTCTCTAAACAGACCATTTTAAGCAAATAACAAAATGAAACTTAAAAGAGAAAGCTTTTTTAAAACAAGAAAAAGATTTTTAAAAATTACTTGACAGATCTCCCTGATATGAGGGAGAGGAGATGCAACATGGGGGATTAAGGGGGTAGGAGAAGAGTAAATGAAACAAGATGGGATTGGGAGGGAGACAAACCAGAAGTGACTCTTAATCTCACAAAACAAACTGAGGGTTTGTGGGGGGAGGGGGGTTGGGAGGGGGGGTGGGGTTATGGACATTGGGGAGGGTATGTGCTATGGTGAGTGCTGTGAAGTGTGTAAACCTGGTGAGTCACAGACCTGTACCCCTGGGGATAAAAATATATTATATGTTTATAAAAAATAAAATTTAAAAAGAAATTACTTGACAGTGATAAAAAGCAAATGGACATCTAAATAATTAAAAACAGTCTACTAACCACAAAGACACATAAAAACAAAAAAAAACCCACAAAATCCAGTTTGCTAGACTTCCTTTCCTTATATTTAGAGGCATATTTTTACCTAGTGGTAATCAATGTTAATTAATATCCATTTTAAACTCTGTATTTTCTTAACACTTTCACATGCAATTATCTTTTTTGAATAGACATTGTCATTTAAATGGTAAAAGATTCAGTTACTTTTAGGTTGGCTATGATTTTGAACTAAACATTCAGTTGAACATTTAGGTTACTTCAGTTTTTCATTAATATCTTTGCATAATTAAGTAGTCTTTCTTTTTCCTTTTTTTTTTTTTTTGGATTTATTTTCCTGAGCTGTATTTCTCTTTTTTTGTTGTTGGTTTTTTTTGTTTGTTTGTTTTGTTTTTAAAGATCTTATTTATTTATTTGACAGACAGAGATCACAAGTAGGCAGAGAGGCAGAGAGAGAGAGGGAAGCAGGCTCCCCGCCCAGCAAAGAGCCCGATGTTGGGGGGGTTCGGGGGGGGGTTCGATCCCAGAACTTTGGGATCATGACCTGAGCCGAAGGCAGAGGCTTTAACCCACAGAGCCACCCAGGTGCCCCTCCTGAGCTGTATTTCTAAAGCATAGTTATCAGGTCAAAGGGTCTCATCGGTTTTATAACTTTTCTTATATATTACTGCTTATATGTGTATTTATGTATATATATAAATTGTTCTCCAGAAGATAGTACTAATTTATGATGTTACCATCTAGGTATTTAGAGTGAGTTTTTAAATACTTTTTCAATCTTTTGGTGGCTTTAATAGGTGAAATAGCCCCTGGTTGATTTAATTAGCTCTTTTTTTCATGATTAGTGAAGCTTAAATTTTAACCAGTTATTTTTTTAATTGTTGTTAATCGATTTGTATATCCCTACATATACCTGATTTTCACATTTATCTTTTAAATTTATTGTTTTTTATATTTCCTTACACATTTTTATTTTTATATACACAAAATTCCATCTATTGTTTGAACATTGTCTATAGTTTAGATAGTGCATCTTTTTTTGTTTTTCATTTAATTTTCATATTGTACAGAGGTTTTTATCTTTCTGGGATCCAGTGTTTCTAGGAATATTATACTTTGGTAATATGGTCCTATTTTAAGTCAAATATCTGTTCTCTACTTACAGGTTTCTTTTTAAGGGAAAATGGGCTAGGGCTAAGTGAGAGTTTGAACCGAAGGAAAAGAAGTATAGTGGCTGAAAACAGGATGTGCTGTGTTAGATTGATTGCTAGATAGATACAACAGTTGTATAGTTGCTTTAAATTATTTCACATATGACCTTTGATTTTGTGTGGCTTTATTGTGGGAGAGATGGTTTTTTTTTTTTCTTAGTGTATGTATTTTTTAAAATGCTGTTAGACAATGGATTTATACAGTGTGATCTTTGATTTAGCTACATGTTTCAGGTTGAAGTTTGGGGCAAGCATTAGTAAAACCTTATGTGTACTTACAGTATTTATAAGTAGTATAATCCTGTATGTTAAATTATATAACAATACTTCAAATTGAAGGTATACTAGGGTATAAAAAAGAATGCAGATGTATGATGAAGAGGTGAAAGATTATAAACAAGGATATCAAAAATGGGTATCAGTATTTTGATATCCTTGTTTATAATCCTATACCTCTTCATGTATGCTACATATAAAAAACAAAACTCCTCTGCCTTTCTGTCTGTGTGTGTACTTTCACTTAAATTGTATATGTTGCTTAACTTGGTTTATCCAGAAAAATAGTAAGATAATAAGTTGGATTTCTTCAGCACTTCATTACTGTTACTATTATGCATTCTAGAAATCCCTGTTTTTTCTTACTGAAATCAGATTTAGTGTTTTACTTATAATTTGGAACAAAAGGCAGCAGGTATTTTGTTAAAGCTACTAGCCAGCAAGTATTGACATATTCAGATCTGAAGTGCCTTTTGAAATATGAGCCTGTAAATGAAATGTTTGTCAGTTTATGTTAAACTGTAAGATTTTTGAATATGGCATTCAAAATAAAATGTGCTAAATCAACTTTCAGAATTTTAAGTAATGATACAGGGAGAAATTTGAAGTCATGGTGAGTGTTTTTGAAGTTTGATCTGGAAATTTTTCATTTCTCCTTGACTCTTATTTACAACATAATAGAATTAGTTTTGCTTCTTACAATTCATCTTATGGTAGATAATTTAAATAATTACAGATGTCTGTTCATTTATGGTGACCCTGTTGAATTGTTGGCTGTTTTATTGCTTCCTCCTTGGAGCTTTATTGGGAACTACAAACATAGTAATGAGGAGTATGTGTGTATGTATGTGTTTAAATGAAGTTTTTGTTAACATAAATTTTACATATTGAAATTGTGACTTGGAAACTTCTTTTTTTAAAGGCATGTTTTAATGTTTTTTAATCATTTTAAGGGGACTTGTATCATAAGACTGAACCAAAGTCATAATTACCTTTAGGTATGTTATATATTTTCACATTTATTCAGCATTTTTCGTGTATAGAATTGAAAGCCCTAATTAGTGCTTTCATTTAGGGTGACATAGATTGTATTTCCTTCATTTTATATTCAAAAGACTTGAGGCAGTTCTTATGCTATTGAAAAGTTTATCAAGATTATATGTTCACTACTATCTTTAAAAAATGTATACATCTATGATGATATATGTCATTATAAGAACTTGCATCTGCATGTAATATATGCAAGTCTAAAAGTGCTTTCACATTATCTCATTTGATGCCCACCAAGTACTTTAAAATACTGTATTTGAATTCCAGATATACCTGTATTTTTTTCCTTACCTTACCTAGCTCTTGTTCTCTAATTACTAGTAATAGTTTAAATTGTCTATTAGAACAGTAGAATGAATGTAGAAAACTCAACAGTTGTTGAGTGCTGGCAGCATAGTTTTTGTATCTCTAAGTGTGGAAGTAATTTAAGTGTGTGTGATTTATTAACTGCTGTGTGACTACACAGCCATAGTTAGGAAGAACAGAATGCATCATGGGAAACCAAAA